ACACAAGATGGAAGGAGAATTCAAAAATATTTTTTAATTAAAGCACAGTAATTTATAAAGTTATTCCTATCTGGATTTTAGAGACACAGTATTGCATCACTATTCCAACCACTGGAATATCGCTGGAGCGATAGCACAGCGGTAGGGCGTTTGCCTTGCAAGCAGCCAACATGGCCGACCCGAGTTCAATTCCTCCACCCCTCTCGGAGAGCCCGGCAAGCTACCGAGAGTATCTCGCCCGCACGGCAGAGCCTGGTAAGCTCCCCGTGAGGTATTCGATATGCCAAACACAGTAACAACAAGGTCTCCAATGGAGACGTTACTGGGCCTGCTTGAGCAAATCGATGAACAACGGGAGGGCCTTTAACTTTTTTACCTTTTCCAACCACTAGTGTCATTTCCTCCACCAAATATTTCCAGGTTCTATCACATTACCGCTCCTTCCAACAGGATACACACACACACACACACACACAGACACACACACACACACTATATATATATATATATATATATATATATATATATATATATACTGCCTGCTCTTTTGACAGACACCTTTCTGAGTTCACTTGTTAAAGTTTGGGTCTCTTGATTTCATTGTTGTTGACTTTGTGCTTAAGGAGCATTTCTTTTTTAATGTAAAATTTCTGTCTTCACTGTATCACTGTCATCCTGTTGATCGTCGATTGCCTCAAGCAGGCCCCAGTAACTTCTCCTTCATCCTAGCCCTGAGATTTTAAAAAGTGACACATTTGAGGCTCTTTCTGGGTCAGGAGAATGAGGCCCATCATTGTTTTTGGCATATTGGATATGCCACGGGGAGTTTGCCAGACTCTGCTGTGTGAGCAGGATACTTTTGGTAGCCTGCCAGGTTCTCCAGAGTAAGAACTAGACAATAAGATGTCGCTTCCTGGAGCAGGGTTTTATAGTCTCTGGGTCTTGGTCGTTGATGGGATTACACAGTACCGGGGGCAGTTGGTGGGTATAACACCTACATACTGGAAGGTGGGGGATCTGGGTGGAAGAGGCCCCAGTCCCAATCTGAGCAGGCTTGGAGATCTATGCCCCGGGTCCTGCACACCTGGGTTCCTCTGCAGATTCCTTCATGTGTGAGGCTCGTCCGAACATATGGAGAGTGGTCTTAAGCATGGCTGTGGTTGAAACAGGAGGTCTTCAGCTGCCGGGGCTCTGCTTGGGTGGGGAGGGAAACTCAACCCACCCTCCTCCAAGGGGACCCGGTGAGGACAGCCAGGTGTGGAGGCAGGAGATTCTCTGCCTTAGAACAGAAAAAAAACCAGAGAAAGATAAGTATTACCAATTGATATCCAAAAGTGAATTCACAAATTGCAGTTTAAAGGATGAATCTTTAGAAATATTTTGCAAATATTCTTCACCTGCCAATCTGAACTGGAAAAGGAATTGCCAAGAAAGTTTCACCTTTCTCTCTCATCCTGAGCACAACTGACAGATGTGCAAGACTGATATGGTAAACATTTTTTTATCAGCTTTTTCAGCTCCCCAAACTCTCAGCTTCACCCTCCAGAGTGGATACACTGTCTTAAGCAATGCTGTGAACAATATGTGAAAGTTTTAGTTTCAACACATACCAACTAGAATTTCTAGCAGTGTTACTTCATTGTTTAAATCAATTAAAAGTTAATAGTGATGCTGAGCATACCTTTATCTAATGATTCCCTATTTTATATTCCAAATGGGTAATATTAAAACTTTCATATGAATTATGTATTGACTTAGTGAGGAATTGATTTTTAAAAGAAAAGCATATTATGAAGACTTATGAAACTCAGTACATATATATTTTTATATCTTGGTTTATCATGTTAAGGGTAATGGCAGCTATCCTAAATTATTTTAGGAATATTAAATTAGGTTTTTATTCATTTTTTCTTACATAGATATACTTTACTTTCTTTTATTCTGATAATTATTTACTCAGGATAATACAATAAAGTATGTACGTCAAATCTACATTAATTTGATAAATTTAAATCTTTTCAAAATCTGAGAATGATATTTAAATTTATTTGATTGATATACATAATGCTAAAAATGATTTTCTGATTATATGTACACTGACTGTACTTATAAGATGTTTTATTAGTAATTAAGAATTTAAACACATGAGCATTCTCAAATGGCTAACAGGCTATTATTATTCAAATGTTATACAGATATTTTTATTCTAGAATTTATGCAGTCTATTACATAAACAAGTCTATTCATAGGTCATAGAGATAAAGTAGTGAGTAAAGCAATTGCCTTGCAGGTAAGCAACCCAGGATCAATCTTGGCATCATTATAGTTCCCAGAGCATCACCAGGAGTGATCCCTGAATACAAAGACAGAGTAACCTCTGAGTGTTTCCAAGTGTGACCCCAATGCAAAAAAGAAAAATCTGTTCAATGATTTAAAAAAAAAGAGAGAGAATTAAAAAGTAGGAATTTTTGTAGAAAATATGAACAAAAGACATAAGCATGAAGTTTTAACACATCATACAATATTTTAAATAAAAGTAGTGCATAATTTAAATATTGGATTGATCTTTTCATTCCACCATGTATTATCTTCAAGCCAACATAATGAAATGATATCTAGTCATAATGCAACACAAATTATTTTGAGATATCCACTCACATAAGAGGGCTGGAGCGATAGCACAGTGGTAGGGCGTTTGCCTTACAAGTGGCCAACATGGCCGACCCGAGTTCGATTCCTCCGCCCCTCTCAGAGAGCCCGGCAAGCTACCGAGAGTATCTCGCCCGCACTGCAGAGCCTGGCAAGCTACCCGAGACGTATTCGATATGCCAAACACAGTAACAACAAGTCTCATGATGGAGACGTTACTGGGCCCACTTGAGCAAATTGATGAACAAGGGGAGGACCGTGACTCACATAAGTAAGAAGGTCCACATGAAAAAGAAAGAAAACAGTAAGTGCTAGAGAGCAAAGTAACTTAGAAATAGAAAATGGTGGGAAAGTAATTCTCATTGTCTGTTGGTAGGACTTTGCAGAGTACATTATTTCTTTAGTGCACACATTAAAGATTTTCTCTCATCTGTGGCACTGTAGAACTATTCTGCCACTGTTCACTAATTGCTCAAGCAGGCACCAGTAACATATCACAACAAATTGTGAGACTTGTTGTTACTGTTTTTGGCATATCATATATGCCACGGGGAGCTTGCCAGACCTCTGCTGAGTGGGAAAGATACTCTCGGTAGCTTGCTGGGCTATCTGAGAGGGGCCAATAAATCAAACCCGGGTCGGCCACGTGCAAGGCAAACACACTTCCTGCTGTGCTATCTCTCCAGCCCCTTATAATGTATGAAAACTAAAAATATGACATGATATAGCAAGGTCAGCACTGAAACATCTCTACATACCCAAGTAAATGACCAGATGACCAACAAGTAAAAGGTCATCTGTAGTAAAAGTAAAAAGTAAAGTAAACATTATTTTTTAAAAGTAAAAATTATTTATTGAGGATATTTGAAGGAAATGTAAGAAAATTATTTATTGAGACAAACAATAATAACAATAATCAGAGCACCAAGAACTAATGCTGACATTTCTCTGAATTTCAGTCCATATTACATTTTCTGTGAAACAAATGTACTTTTTGTATTCATATCTATGCAGCTAAAAATTAAGTTCATATTTTTCTTAATAATTAAAACAACTATGAACATTTCAGTATTATTTTAGGCCGACCCGAGTTTGATTCCTCTGCCCCTCTCGGAGATCCCGGCAAGCTACCGAGAGTACTCGATATGCCAGACACAGTAACAATGATATACATGTAAACTTTAATTAAAATTTGTGTGAGTACATAGAAAAATATTTCCTTCATAGGGGAAAGAGTTCAACCTGTCTATCAGATAAAGTTTACTGAATCTCCAAATTAATAAAATTGAAATGAATATGTAAATCCATACAGTTAATATAAATCAAGTATATGTAGCAGTCTAAGATTATTTTGAAAAAATTTGTTTTATGGTTTTACAGGTGTATACATTCTTATATAACAGATTTTACCTTCACTAGAAAAAGAGCATAAAGTGAATAATGGAATTATTCTAATTTCCTAAAGCAGGATTAGAGAATTGACACAGCAAAAGAACAAATTTTAATCAATATATAGAATACTCTCCTGTCACCCAGTTATCAATAAACCCAATAATATAAAAGATATGCAAGAATAAATTCATAATAATTAGTCATAAACAGATCTAAAATAATCACATACAATTAAATGCATTATTTTTTATTCTCTAAAAATATTTAAAAGTAGCAGTTCATTACAGAAAAATAAGCAATAAAAGATTAAGTTCAAACTGATAAAAAAGAATAAAGTTTAAAAGCTTCCATGGGAAAACAAGAAATTTATCTCAATTGATATATCTGCTGCTAGCAGACAATGACTACTTTAGAATAAAATACAGTTTGTGGAATATTTTCAGTTGTTTAAATACCAATTATGATGAGTTAATCAGATCCAAAGTGGATCATATCTGAAAGCAAGGGTACTTATAAGAAAGCAAGCAGTCTACTTTATAAAGAATGGTACGTTAAGAAAAATGACATGACACTTGACTTAAACTCATTTACAACATAATGATCATTTTTGATAGTAGAATCAATTTGATTCTAACACATAGCAACAAATCCTACAGGGGAAATGGAAATATGTTTGCCAAAATACACACACACACCCAGACACACACACACACAAACCAACACCAGCAAAATGCAAGTTCAATTATAAAGTTTGAGAATATCCATGTCATTTTAATTCTCCATGCTTATTATTAATTCTTTGTCTTTCCAACGTGATCAACCTCAGTTTTTCAGTTCGTGTAGGTTATTGTGTTTCTACTATAAAACATGCCTCATTACTTGTATTTGCTTGAAAAAGCACATAAAAGCACCCAGAGATTGAAGTCCATAAACTAACTGAAGCAAAGTTACAGTACATTTTAAGAAAATATATTACGAACTCTTTCCGAAATTCTCTGCAGTGCACATTTTACATCCTTATTCCTCAAACTATAGATCAAGGGATTCAACATGGGGATAATCAGGGTATAAAATATAGATGACATTTTATCAGTGTCAAAAGAATGACTGGACTTGGGTTTCACATACATAAATATCAAAGTCCCATAGAGCAGTATGACCACAGTCAGGTGCGATCCACAGGTGGAAAAAGCCTTGCGTCTCCCCTCAGCAGACTTCATTCTGAGCACGGCAATGAGGATGAGCAGGTAAGACACCAGAACTATGAGGAGGGTGAAGATCAAATTAACAGCTGAGAAAATGATTATCAAGGATTCAACTTCGAGAGTGTTTGAGCAGACCAAAGTTAACAAGGGGAAATTGTCACAGTAGAAATGATTAATGACATTATAACTACAGAAGGGTAGATTAAAAAGTTTTATGGTGATCAGAAGAGAAACACAGGTGCTGTAGAGATACGGGATTACTATTAGCACAAGACACAGTCTTTGGGACATGATGACTGTGTAGAGCAGAGGATTGCAGATGGCCACATAGCGGTCATAGGACATTGTTGCTAGAATGAAAAGTTCGTTGCACATGAACATGATAAATAAAGTCAGCTGTGTGGCACAAAAGTAAAAGGAGATTGTATTTTGTTCCACAAGGAAATTTACCAACATTTTGGGTCCCACAGCGGTGGAATAGCCGAGATCCGTGAGTGCCAGGTGCCTGAGAAAGAAGTACATGGGTGTTTGCAGCCTGGGGTCCACCTTGGTGAGGATGACCATGCCCAGGTTGCCCATCAGTGAGATCATGTAGATGATGAGGAAGAGCACAAACAGGGGAGCTTGCAGCTCCGGGCGGTCTGTGATTCCGAGGAGGATGAATTCCTTCAGTCCTGTGAGATTGTGTTTGTCCATCCAGGTTTATTAAAATACAATCTGAGTAGAGACAACAACACAAAGAACAGGTGTCATGAAATAAAATAGCTTTAGTGTTCAAATACATAACACAAATAACAGTTTTTAAGAGAAAAGGGGTTTCTTTGGGAGTTAATATAGAGTTGGTGAGCATTGCTCTTTAAAGAACAGGCTTTGTCATAACTGTTGTTTGGGGGGGGGGGTCAGTAAGGACAGAGAAGGGACAACTATGACGATGATAATTGGAAATAATCACTCTGAAAAAGAACTGAGTGCTGACAGTAAGTAAAAGGATATACGTAATAAACTTTCAGTAACTGCATTACAAACCAAAGGCCAAAAGGAATGAGAGAGAAAGAAGGGAAGAGAGAAAGAGAGAAGAAAGAGAGGCAGACAGACAGACAGACAGACAGACAGACAGATACACAGATACCATGCCAGACAGACAGATACACAGATTGTTTGGGGCCACAATCAAACTGTGCACTCAGGGCTTGCTCCTGACTCTGCACTTATGAAACAGTCCTGGCAGGTCTCGGGGAATTATGCATTGTTCCAGGGATCAAACCCAGGTAGTTCATGTGTAAGGCAAGTGCCTTACTTGCTGTAATATCACTGTCCTCATATTATCACCTACTGAGAAAATTAATATGCTTTCTCTGGTCTATCAGAAGTGAAAGCCTGCTATATATAAGATACTGGAAAACAATACTTAGAATATGGTCACCAAAAACTTCTATTTTCTGTTCACTGTAAAATAAAAATCATTTTTCTCTTATTAAGAGAGCCAAAAGAAATCACATTTATACAGTGAAATATCTGCGCTTGGTTAAATCAGCCATATATGACTCTAGCTTTAGGTTTTGTTTACTCTATTTGGTCTCTTTTAATCACATTACTAAGTATGCACATCAACACAAACATACATATGCATAGTCAAGGATATTTCAAAGCTCTTTTACTTGTCAAGTGATATGGGTCCTTCTCAAGTCGTGCTCAGGGCATCTCTGGACCTATCCCTGTGGTATTGACAGACATGAGCTGGGGTTCAATGTGAGATTCTGGGTCCTTTGAGGTTGGTGATCATAAGGATCAACATCATGGTGTTCAGGGAACTTCATTGGCTACATCCAAAAAAGCTCAATGATCAGAGAGTGCTGGAGACTGAATGAGGTCAGCAGAGATATAGCATGCCTTTCTAATCCGTGCGCCTTTTCTCCAGGCCCTATTTCAAATATTTTCTATAGTGTTTCTGAAAATACATGAATACGTAATCTGACCAAAATGGAAAGCTGCTCTATTATGTTCATAGATTAACACTTGCATAAAACTCATAAAACACACATCAGGAAAACCTAACATTTTGATATGCTTTGCCATAGAACAGAGTGTTTCCTTGCAATTGTCACCCAAATTCTTCAGATATTGGGAAAACAGAACACCATATAAATACTCTAAGTTACCTGAATGAATCCTTTGTCTTAGCTCCCTTTCATGCTTCAATGAGGGCAATTTATACTTTCCTTGTAGTCTTCTTGACTCTCCCTGAGGAGATGATGGGCAATTACTTGGTTCTCCCTGAAGGACCAGAAAGCTTAAAAGATGCAAGAGTATGGAAGAAGATACGAGTGGAATAATTTATTTTTCTTACTTTTCTATACTTATTTTTCATCAGAAAATGAGCTAGATATATTTGTTTGCTTGTCATTTATGTCTTTACCCTTTACTCTTAATTCACTTTGTGATCATTTTGTTGTTGTTGTTTAATACTGTGTGTTTCTTTGGCTAGGCTAACGGGCCCATGGTCAAATTTCTAAATGTCGCTTGGAGATGGGATTTTGCTAAAAAACATATTTCAATTAGAAAATGTGAGCACAGCTTCCATAATGTGTACAAAGGCCATCCAATATTTTTGAGCCTTAATTAGCAAAGCGTGAGGTCTCCTGAGTTAAGAACAGAGTTTTAGTCTTATATTGCCAGTTAAACTTTCTAACTCTCTCTTCTCTGTACTCATCCCTGCATCAATTTGCAGTGCCAGCCCGTCCAGTAGAATTTTTAATTTTTTTACAGCACCTTTACAGAAGAACATTAGTAGTAGGGATTTAAATTGTATCATTTTGTCTATGTCACAAGCTTATCACTACTCCTCAGCTCTATAAGGGCAATGTCAAATGGATGACACAGTGAGTATGTATTAAACATTGCCTTGTTATTTCAAACAAACTCTTGGATTCACTGGAGAGCTGAGGTTGCCAGGAGGGAAAAAGGATTCAGTGATAGTGGGGGGTGATTGTGGGTGTGATTTAGTAACATGTATTTTTAAGTGTGAAGTTATACCTCTAAAACACATCCAATCCGACAAACCAATGTTGACCTTATTAAGAATTTAGAGGCATTTTAATGAACCAACATTATGATACCGATATACATGATGCTGCTAACACCTCACTTTTGATCATTATTTATTTAGACACGGAAGTAACCGGAATTAGTAATACGTGGTTTTAATCTTTATTTCATAATGAAGCATCCTTATGAATTTATTTTCACTAGGGTGATTGAACATAGTTTTAAGTCCCGAGAGTGAGATCTAAGAATGTGATTTCTTAGTTATTTTAGTACTTCAGTGGTTCAACTTATCAATGTTTACTTGTATAGTTATTTTGTTGCATGTCTATAAATTCCTCACTAGCCAGGAATCCTGAATATAGAATTTTTAAAAGACTCTCTTTTATTGGAATGTTGTGAAGTTATTACTAATTACTTGTAACCATTTATTGTTATTTTCTCTACACAAACCAACAAATCACAGTCTTTATTACCATCATTGTATAGTAAATCTAATATGGACTGGAGTATTTCAGTTGCTTTTGGTGACTTTTTCTATATTTGTCCTCAGACTGTAGAGATAATATTGAGTGCAGGGAAAAATGTAGGAGTGACTGTTCAGTTTGCCTTTACCTAATCTTCATGGACTCTCGATTAAACTTTGGTTATTTTGTATGAATTACAACTTTCAAAAACTGAAGTAAAATTCCTAAAATCCCCCCTGTCCCCTTATGTCCCTTTTCAATTGTATCACTGTATCATTCTTCCCATTGATCATCAAATTATTCAAATGATCCCATTAATCATCAATTACAGTAACTTCTCTATTCCTTCCACCCCTGAATTTTTAGCAGCTTCTTCTTACTTGTCTTTTCCAAACAATTGGGAAAAGACAAGTTAGGCTCTTTCAGAGTCAGGGGAATGAGACCTATTTTTGTTACTGTATTTGGCATATCGAATACACCCCGGGGAGCTTGCCAGGCTCTATCTCATGCAGGTGGGATACTCTCGGCAGTTTGCTGGGCTCTCTGAGAGGCATAAATGGGTAGGAAGTGTCTTTAAATGTGTTGTGCAGTCACTTTGCGGTCGTGTGGTCCAAAGAGCGGCCTGTAGCATGGCAGTGCTTGGGCAGCGGAGGTTGGGTCTCTGGGTTGAATCCCTTGGGGTAAGGAGGGCTGTCACCCACCCCACAGCCTGGAGCTGAGTTGTTGCAATATCTAGGGGTCATGCTCTTATAGTTCTTACTCTCTCTTAATTATGACAACTGTTGCTTTCATTCCTGGGGATCAATCACATTTGGTGTCATGGGTCACATCCTCACACACTCAACTTAGACCCTTTACCACGAATCATTTCACCAGGCTCTATATACTGGAATTTTAAAAATGCTTTTTTATAGATCATTGAGATCTATTTTTTCTATATGTTTTTATGACTATTAAAACAACTGCACTTGGCTTTGGTAAGTCAATGCAATCATTGTGGATTATTGTTTTAACATATTACTAGATTACACTTTCTGATATTTTTTTCAGAATTTTTGAATACATATGTATGATTTTCAATGAAAAGGTGCTTGGGTGCATGGGCATGTAGACACAGTGGCTGAGAGCTGTTCTCCTGGTTAGCGCACAGGAATGGATGGTCGAAGACCATCCAAGGGGACAGAGTAACTGGGGAACTGGACCCCAAAATGGTCGGTAATCAGTTTATTTCTCTCTTCTTTCTCTCTCTTCCCCAGCATAGTCCAATCTCTCCCCTTATGACACAATCATAGTTATTGTTTTGGTCATAGTCTCAGTCTCCCTCTCCACACGTTTGCACAAGGAACCGGCAGAGGAACCCAGGTGCGCAGGTCTCGGGGCTGAGATCTCCAATCCTGCTTGGTTAGGGACTGGGCCTCCTCCACCCAGCTCCCCCACCTTCCAGTAGCTAGACAGTTACACCCACCAACTGCCATGCAACCCCATCAATGGCCATCCAGATACTATAAAACCAAGCTCCCAGAAGAGAACAAGGCAGAGTCTCCTGCCCCCGTGCCTGGCTGTCCTCACCAGGGCCCCATGGAGGAGGGCAGGTTGAGTTTCCCTCTCTGCCCTGAGCAGAGCCTTGACAGCTGAAGACCTCTGGGACCCAGCCAAAGCCATGCAGAGACCACTCTCCACACACTTGGATGAGGAACCGGCAGAGGAACCCAGGTGTGCGGGACCTGGGGCTGAAATATCCAAGCCTGCTCGGTTCAGGACTGGGCCTCCTCCACCCAGATCCCCCATCTTCCAGTAGCTAGACAGTTACACCCACCAACTGCTCTATAACCCTATCAACGGCCATCCAGAGACTATAAAATCAAGCTCCCGGAAGAGCCTGACAAGCTACCCGTGGTGTACTCGATATGTCAAAAACAGTAACAATGAATGGTCCTCATTCTCCTGACCCTAAAGGAGGCCCCAATATGTCATCGGGCTACACTAGCACGTGACCAGGAAAAATGGAGATGTTACTGGGCCTGCTCTAGCGAATTGAAGAACAATGGAGTGATAGTGATAGTGACATAGTCTCAGTCATCAGAGTTCCATCATCTTAGTCTTCTTGTAGACCTCAAAGTCCTCTGCCTCATTAAGTTTTCTTCCTCATCCCGTCATGGTCTCATAGGCCTCTACTTCAATCATCAT